CGCTACCACGCTTCTCTGCACCCCCCCCCCCTCCTCAAGAGCAACAGCCCAGCTGCGGGGGTTTCCCCCTCTACCTACGAGCCTCGGCCGGCAATAGGAAAATCCCCGGGAGCTGGAGTTTCTTTCGGCCGATCCGAAACTCCGAGTCCACTTTAGCTCCGCTCCTGGGATGTAGGAGCCCGGACACCTCCTGCCCCTGCTGCCATCCCGGCCAGGTGTGGAACAGAGAGCCCCATGCCAGCCCCCACCAGCCAGCACCCTGCCGCTACTCTACCTACGAGCCTCGGCCGGCAATAGGAAAATCCCCGGGAGCTGGAGTTTCTTTCGGCCGATCCGAAACTCCGAGTCCACTTTAGCTCCGCTCCTGGGATGTAGGAGCCCGGACACCTCCTGCCCCTGCTGCCATCCCGGCCAGGTGTGGAACAGAGAGCCCCATGCCAGCCCCCACCAGCCAGCACCCTGCCGCTAGGGAGGGAAAGGCTGCGAGGAGGCACGCAGCAGCTGACGGGAAGAGAAAGAAACATGTAGAAAACTCCTGGCCATAATCCGATCAGCCTATCTTTGAGAAGATTGAAGCTGCAGCTTAGCATGTTGACATCAGGGACACACTTTTAAAAGCGATTTAGCCAGGGGACATGCAGCTGTCAGTGTTGCTTTTTACACACCACACAACGAAAATTGCAATTGACAGGTGAGTAATTTGAATTTTCAAGAACACCTTCAAGTTCTTCACCTCGCGTGTGCTGCTCATTTGTTCGTCTCCATTAGGTAATTCGTTTCCATTTCTGGTTTTATTAATATTGTGAAAGATCTCCAGCTGATTGCGAATCCGTGGTATACAGGGCGTGTGTGACTGTACAGTAGGAGAGGTGAGGAAGGGACCTAGAGCAAACTGTTCAGTACAAATCTTAAATTTTGAAAAGCCCTGATATAAGTAAACTTTGAAACTATTCTGGAACCACTATAACTTAATATTTAAAAATTACAATGTGCTAAATACATTAGGCTTGTGGAAAAAATAATTGTACTCAATCAATAATTTTAGAAAACAGCTTAATTTTTAGACTGGTTACACCATTTTAATGAATTCCTATCTTAAAATGGATCAACAATCGAGATATCACATAAATAACTTCTGTGGATGTTATCAGTTCCAGTTGTGTGGATGACACATTTCTCTGTATCGATCACTTTAATGATTGTATTCTGCTAATTGTATTTACTGGTGGAGTACCAGTCTCCAAAAGTAATCCCTCTGAAACCAATATGACTACATGCTGATTAAGGTACTATATAAGAAGTAAGAGTAGCAAAGTCTAGCTGTAAATAACTAGAGTTATATTGTTTCTTTTATTATTGGAAAGCATTTTGCATATCCCTTAGAAATCAAGGGATAATGCACATATATATATTGAATTCCCGGAGCAGTCTTGTCAGGGTTGTTTTCCCTGCAACTGCCATGCTTTAGTTTGGACATCCCGCCCCCACATACTTATTCAGCCTCTCAGTCTCCTGCACCTCTCTTTGTCAGCAAAATGGGATGCTTGACTACCTAACTGCAATAAAGAAGGTAACCCTTGGCAGTTCAATGTGCTTCTGCAGTGCTCCAAACCTGGGAAAGAAGGGACAAGTGTGGATTCCTATGTATGGGCTTGTGTTGGGCAGCCCAATAATTTTTTGTTAATATATTAATTAAAATGTTTTCTCATCCAGAGAGGCATAACTCCTCAGGGGCTCATGAGCTTATTACATAGGGGGTTGTAAGCCATCATCCTTCACCCCTCAAACGCCACTTCACCTCAGCATTTATAATACTCTACTATATATTTGAGAGAACTTGTGCACCTATCTGTGTCTGTCTATGAGTCAGTCCATCTTGAGTCCATTTGTTCACTAAACATTAAAGCTAGAGCCACCAAATTTGGTATGCAGCTTCCTCTTATCATAACTGAAAGCAAAGCAAATATTTGGTTGTGCCATGACAATGGGATGTGCTTGGAATTAGATTTTCCTCTAAAATGGAAAGGGAGAGGTCTGGTCAGAGGGACAGTTTATACTGTAGAACAGGGGGTCAGCAATCTATGGCTTGCAAGCCATCTATGGCTCACTTAGGAGCCAAATATGGCTCACAGCTTGAGTTTAGCCTCTCCCTTGCTCCCCCACCACTCCTTCCCCCCCATGATCCAGCCTCATGCCCCCTGCAAGATTGAAGCCAGAGCCATCTTCCTTGGGGGTGGAGAAAGCCTCGCTGTGAAATTGGGAAAGAATCCGGAGCCATAAATGGCTCTGTGTGTGCACTCCTACTCCCCTGGCTAGAGGAACAGACACGCTGCTTCGAGGCTTTTCCTGCTGTTCCGTTGGCCAGAATCTGGCCAGTAGACAGTGAGAAGCCATGCCCTGGGACAGAAGGCAATAAAGCAGCACAGGGCACAAAAAACAGACCCAGCCACCATCTTGCCCGTGAAGGACCCAACACTGCCATGGCCATATCCCTGTTGTTCTGCACACTGTTCTGCCCTGCGCCTCTCGCATGTGCTGTGCACTCATCAGCCTGCGCCCCTTCTTCCTGGCCTTCTGGGTGCCAGTGGGCTGGATCCTGGCCAGCCAGGAGAGGTACAAGAAGCACAACTAAGCTTGCTGGTTCCCATTTGCACCTGGACCTGCCGGCCAGACTTCCTGAGCTCCTGCTGAGGCACAGCTCCATTCCACACTTGGCCTTTGGGCTACTAACTTATTCTGTGACCTGTGTGGAGCAGGTGCTGGCTGCCATGTGGGAGTGACTTGCATCTATTACAATGAATAAACCCTGCTACAAGCACTGGGGGGAAAAGGTAAGTGCCACCCAGACCTTGTATCCCTGGCCTCTGCCACATGCCAAGACCCTGCACCTTCCCCAATGGCCAGACACCCTGCCCCCAGCCTGCTTCTGTGCTCTACCTTCCACCCAGATGCTGAACCACCATCCCTAACCCACTTATCCCACACACCGGACCACTCATTTTTGGTCCCACCACAAAGTCTAGGGGGGGCCCACAAAATCCACTAATCCTGGTACCTGAGAAGAGTTAATCAATTCTGAAGCCTTGAACTTCAGTCATCCCTGCCCTCCTGCCTGTCCCCCACATGGTGCTAGAGTGCCAGGGGAGTGAGATGTCTCAGTTGGGAGCCACATCAATAAGGAGTTTTGGGAAATTTTTGTTTCTTTTGCTTCTCACATGCACGGTCCCCCAATTGATTTTTCTGGCCCTTGACCCAAAAAATGTCCCCCACCCCTGCAGCAGAATGACCACAGCAGGGCAGAGAAGGACCAGCCATGGGGACCAGGACAGCTGTAACCCTACTGGGCGAGCAGGGGGCAGGGGTGGAGAAAGGGACAGCTATCTACTCTATATTTCGGAGAATTTGTCTGTGTATCTATATGTCCTACAATCAGGGGAACGTGTACCCTTCTCCCAGCTGTGCTAGTTGCAGTGGCCATGAACAAGCACTTCTCACCTGGCCCCAAGCTGCTGTGGTGAGAGAGGGCTGGGGTTGTCCTCTCTCCCCCATGACAGACCCTCATCCCCAGCCCAGAGCAATGATTTAAATGAAGAAAAGCAAAATTTATTTGAGCTGAGACCCGAGCAACACCAGGTAAATCCTCTAATATTAAATATAGAAAAAATGTGTTTAATTTATAAAGGGGGCCCCACTCAGGCTTGCTGTGTGAAAGGGGTCACCAATACAAAAGTTTGAGAACCACTGAATTAATAAGGATAAAAAACTGTGTAAAGGTGACTGAACAGCATAAATGATTATAAATAGGATACAGAGGTTTGCAACTGTAGATCACAGGTGTGAATCTGACTCATGTGAATAGTGATTAAAAGCCTAATGGCTATTTAGTAAGCTATTCAGCAAGAACTAGTGTGGAGCTCAGAATTAGCAAGAATTAGCTCCCTGATTTACTTCTTCAGCAAAGAGGCTAAATTGGAGTGGGGAACCTCAGGCCCAGGCTGGATGCAGTCCCCAGCTTGCATGGATCTGGCCCCCGAGGCTCAGAGCCCCCTCCAAGCATTAGAGAGCCTGTGCTGGTGCTCCAGCACCCCCACCCCCTTCCACTGCTCTACAACAGAGTTGGAGCACACAAATCTATTAGGTTGGGCCCCCGTAGGGAGTGTGGGGAGTGTCTTTTTCCTTCTCAGTCAGGGACCATGTTAGGGAGGGGTTTTTTTTTTTTTTGTGGTTTTTGTTTTTTTGTTTTTTATCTTGTGTGCAGCCCATGAGTGATTTTTTTTTTTATTGGGTGGGTCAACTGGCCCCAACCCAAAAAATTATACATGGGTGAGACTGAACTATCTTTTAACCTGTAGATACTTTTGAGACTGTCAGATGTACATTGGCAGAGCAGTGTAGAGAAGTTGACACTGCTCCCTGTCTTGTAGGAAATAAAGTTCCTTTCATAAGCAATAGAGTCAAATAAATGTCAAGTAGAACTTGGGTTGCTTGCAATG